GTTGGGAGTTTTTTGATTACTGCTTCAATTTCTTTTGCTGTTATTGGTTTGTTCAGGCTTTCTGCTTCTTTTTCATTGAGTTTTGGAAGATTATATTTTTCTAGGAACTTGTCCATTTCACCTAGGTTTTCAAATTTCTTGGCATACAGTTCTTTGTAGTAATTTCTTACAATCCTTTGTATTCTGTGGTATCTGTTGTAATCTCTCCTCTTTCATTTCTGATTGTGTTTATTTGGGTCCTCTCTTTTTTTTTCTTGATGAGCCTGCTTAAAGGCTTGTCGATTTTGTTTGTCTTTTCAAGGAACCAGCCCCTGGATTCATTGATCCTTAGAATTGTGCTTTTAGTCTCTATGTCATTTAATTCTGCTCTGATCTTGGTTATTTCCTTCCTTCTGCTTGCTCTGGGCTGTCTCTGTTGTTGTTCCTTGAGTTCTTGTAGATGTAGGGTTAGGTTGTTTGTTTGAAATGTTTCTAACTTTTTTAGGTGGGCCTGTATTGCTCTGAACTTCCCTCTCAGGACTGCCTTGGCTGTGTCCCATAAGTTTTGGGTTGTTGTGAGTTTGTTTTCATTTGTTTCCAGAAACCTTTTGATTTCTTCCGTAATATCTTTCTTGACCCATTCATTGTTTAATAGTATGCTATTTAATCTCCATGATTTTGAGTGTTTTTGTTTTTTTTTCCTTTGGGTTGGTTTCTAGCTTCAGTCATTTGTGATCCTAGAAAATGCTTGGTATGATTTCAATTTTCTTGAAATTATTGAGGCTTGTTTTGTGTCCTATCATGTAGTCTATCTTTGAAAATGTTTCGTGTACATTTGAAAAGAATGTGTATTTAGGTTCTTTGGGATGGACGCTGTGTATATATCAGTAAGGTCCATTTCATCAAGGGTATTGTTCAATGCCACAATATCTTTGTTGATAATTTGTTTGGAAGATCTGTCCATTAATAATAGTGGGGTATTAAAATCCCCCACTGTAATTGTGTTTCTGTCCATATCTTTCTTGAAGTCCTCTAAGATTTTCTTTATGTATTTGGGTGCTCCTATGTTGGGTGCATATATAGTCTTGCAATATTTATGCCGTCTTGGTGGATTCTTCCCTTGAGTATTATGAAGTGACCTTCTGGGTCTCTCTTTATGGACCTTTTTTGAAAGTCTCTTCTGTGTGATATGAGTTTTGCTACCCTGGCTTTTTTTTTCCTGTCCATTTGGTTGGAAGATTTGTTTCCAGCCCTTCACTTTCAGCCTGTGCAGGTCTTTTATCCTGAGGTGGGTCTCTTGTAGGCAGCATATGTGTGGGTCATTTTTTCTTATCCATTCAGCTATTCTATGTCTTTTGATTGGAGCATTTAATCCATTTACGTTTAAGGTTATTATTGATAGGTACTTATTCATTGTCTTTTATGTACGTGTGTTCCCCCCCACCCTCTCTTGCAGAGCTGGTTTGGTGGAGGTGTATTCTTTTAGACTTCTTTCATCTGGGAAGCTTCTTATTTGGCCTTCTATCTTGATTGGGAGCCTTGCTGGGTAAAGGAGCCTTGGTTGCAGACCTCTGGTTCTCATTACTTGGAATATTTCTTGCCATTCTCTTCTGGCTTGGAGTGTTTCCATTGAGAAGTCAGCTGTTAGCGTTATTGGGGCTCCATTGTATGTTACTTCCTGTTTCTCCCTTGCTGCTTTTAATATTCTCTCTTTGTCTTGAAATTTTGCCATTTTAATTATGATGTGTCTTGAGGTGGGCCTCTTTGGGTTCCTCTTGATTCTGACTCTCTGTGTTTCCTGGATTTGTGTGATTTTTTCTCTCATCAAATTAGGGAAGTTTTCCACCATTACTTTTTCAAATAGGTTTTCTATATCTTGCTCTTCATTTTCTCCTTCTGGTATCCCTATTATATGGATATTATTATGTTTCATATTGTCTTGTATTTCTCTTAATCCCTCTTCATTCTTTCTGAGCCTCTTTTCCTTTTCTTGTTCTTTCTGGGTGTTCTTTTCTACTTCGTCCTCTAGCTTGCTAATCCGATCTTCTGCTTCATCAATCCTGCTTTTCATTCCTTCTACTGTGTTCTTCAGTTCAGAAATGGCATTCTTCATTTCCTGTTGTCCCTGGTTGATAGTTTGTATTTCCTTTTTCATGTTTATATAGTTTGCAATGAGATCATTGTAGCTTCCCTCTAGTTTCTGGTAGCTCATTGTGAGTTCATTGAGCTCCCTGATAATCATTGTTTTGAACTCAATATCTGATAGCTGAGTTGCCTCTATTTCATTTAGTATTCTTTCTGAGGCTTTCTCCTTTCCCTTCATTTGGGGATTGTTTCTTTGGTTTCTTATTGTTCGTGAGATTCTTTTTGTTAGCCTCTGTTTCTTAAATTGATCTGTTCCCTGTGAGTATGGTGTGAACTTCTGTGGTAGAATACCTGTGAGATTCAGTGGTGCAGTCTCCTTTGTGTATCCTGGTGTTCACAAGTTCCCCCTGCTTTTTTTTGTGATCAGTTGGAGGAGTAAGGCAAAATGGTTTAAGACAGCAAGACAGTATTCTATGATATTTACAGTAGCAGCCAGTAGAGAAGAGATAGGAGATCCTTTGGCTATGTGTAGTGTTAACCGTGATCTTCCACCCTGCTAGCCACGTTTTAGAAAGGATAGAAAGAAGGTAAGACTCTTATTGGGGACAAAAGGATTGTTAGTTGGATCTAGAAAGCTGTGAGGCTGTGGGAGGTCAGATTCTGAGGTACGGTTGGAATAAAGATTAGTAAATAGGAGTAGTGTGTAAAAGAATAGAGACAACCCCCACAATAATATAGTTCAGAAAATTGCAATGTGGGCTGAGATCAGGGAGGGGTGTTGAGTAGTATTTACAAAATTGTATGAACTAGGTCTTATTTACAGTAATATTAAAGCAACAATCATGTGGCAGAATCTATGAGATCTAGGTAACAAGAATAAGGAGTATAGAACCTTGAGAGATGTACTAATGGAACACAGATGAAGGATAGTGAATTATCAACACACTGTGACTGAGATAACAGGGGGGAACCTATCAAATGACAGTATAACCAGCCAAGCAAAGAAGATTATACAGAAAGAGAAAGAATACCAAAATACTATTAAAATAAAAAATGTCAGAAAAGTGAGAAAAAGATAATACAAATTTGCAGTAACTTGCAAGCTCAAAAAAAAAAAGGGGGGGAGGGGATAGCAGAAGATGGAGTGCAGGAGAGATAAGTTTGGATTAGAAGGAATAATACTAGGATGAATGGAAGAGAAACATAAGGGATTGAGAGACATAAAAATAATAAGAATTGAAAAATAAAAAGTCACTTAAAAAACAAGATAAAATCAAACAATCAACCAACAATAGCCAAAAAAAGAAAAAAACAAAAAACAAAAAGAAAAAAAACCCAATCCCCCTCCCCCCCCCCCAACAAACAAACAAACAAAAACCCAAAAACCTATTGTTAGTTTCTAACTGGCCAGACCAGTTTTTCTGGTCTTGCTGGCTTCAGCAGGCTGAGGGGGGTTTGAAATGCTTATCACTCTTCCCTGTCAAAACTCAGTAAGCCTCTCCGGTACTGTCCCCAGGGCCAGCAGGGTGCTCTCCCCAGAGCCAATCTGACTTTCCCCTATAGGACCGTGGGCGCTCCTGAGCTCGCTCTTCAGAGCTCACTGCCGCCATCTCCTGGCTCCGGGGAGAGCTCTGCACCCCCGCAGAGCTCCTGCATCCATTCCGGGTTCACTATGCAAGCTCTGGGGATCGCAAGGAGATGCACCCTTCCCCCACATTTCACCGTGGCGGGTGCTTTGTTCTTGGGAAGCACTGGCATCTTTTCTGTATTCACGATGCAAGCTCTGGGGATCGTAAAGCGGCATGCACTTCCATCAGTTTTTCAGTTTTGGGCTCTAGGAACCCCCAGGTGCCATGTCCCTTCCGGGTTCACAGCACAAGAGTCAGGATTCCTGAGGGGGTGCATGCTTCTTCAGTTCACCACTGCAGGCTCTAGAAACCCGAGAACCCTGCACCCTTTCCTTGTTCAGGGCTTCGAGGTCTGGGGTTTTTCACAGATCCACACTCCCACCGGGCTGGGGCTGGGGGTGCACATCCAGGCCACCTCTGAACGTGCCAGCTGTAGGCACTCACTTCTCCCAGGGCTATGGGTGGGTGCTCGCAGCCCCTGCGTGACTGTCTCCCAGTCCAACTCCCCTCTCTGTGCCTTCAAGCAATAAGGTCTCCCCTGGTGTTGCTCAACCCCTGTAGTCCAGGGAGGGAGCAGTGACTCAGCTCTCCCGGGTGCCCTGAGGCAGACCCGGACCTGGGGGCTGCAACTCCCCGGTCTCCTTGCTGATCCCTGGGTCCCTGTTGTCCTGAAGCAGTCTCCTTACCGTCTGGTTTTTCAATGTCCGCTGTAAGTGTTGTCCTGTTTTCAAAAATGTTTTGGTAACCTAAGCCACTTGCTCTGTTCCTTTGCCGATCTGAGAGTTTCGTATGTTTGATTTCTTCATGACTGAATGTTCAGAGCCAGACACAGAGCCTATCACAGAAGGGACACTCAGTATTTGTTGTTGAATGAATTAGTGAATGGATTTACATAACTGTTCTAGACTTTGAAGGACCAATCCCTTTTTCTTTAATTTTGTATTTGGAAGTTTCTTTCTTATTTCTTTTTGTTTATTTATTTATATTTTAATTTATATATTTTATTGTTTATGCTATTAGTTGTCCCAATTTTTCAGCCTTTCTCCTTCCAGGCCACCCTTGATTCCCACAGTCAATCCCCACACCGTTGTCCATGTCCATGGGTCATTTATATATGTTCTTTGACTAATCCCTTCACCTTCTTTCACGCTGTCCCCATCTCCCTGTCCCCTCTGACAGCTGTCAGCCTGTTCCATGTCTCTATGCCTCTGGTTCTATTTTGCTAATTTGCTTATCTTCTTCTTTAGAATATACTTCAGAGATCATATGGTATTGACCAGTGCATTCTTAATAATCTCTCTTTTTTAGCTGCTGGCTCCACCCAGAAAAAGGATTTATGTGGGGCTTCCTTGGACCCGTCTGCGCCATCATCTCTGTGAGTGATGACATCAGAGCATCCTTAACATTCAGCTGAGGATCATTAGAAGAGCAGAATTATAAGGGTGTGGGGGAGGGAATGACAGGGGTAGGAATTTTCCTGGGTTCTGATTGGGTTGCTTTGATTTTCTCAGACTGCTCCTAAAACTACAAACTCTGATACTAAGTATCAAAACTATTGAAGTGTGGAATTGCTATTGGACAAGCTAGGCTAGAGGTAACAAGTTAAAAGTATATTTACTAATCCTCTGTGTTCCCAAAGGTCAATCTGGCTTTCTTTCTGATGACACTCTGGATTTTGAAAAGCAAACTCTCTTCCCTCAACACTGATGTGTCCACCCTGCAGAATACAAAGTAAGCTGGAGAAGAGGGTGACATGCCCATAGTCACATGTGGTCCCAAGAGCAAATCCATGTGTTTCAGCAGCCCCTGATGTCCCCACTCAGGGTGTGCCAGGGGAACCCAGGGTAAAGAGATGCAGCGATCCTTGTGGGGCAGCAGGCTGGGATTCAGTGGTGTGCAGCTGACTCCCCTGCCACAAAGCTCTGTCTCTAACCCCCAGCTTGTGACTCCCTCAGCAGCAGGAAGGACTGAAGTTGGTTGATGAACCTTCTTTGGACTTTTGTCAGCAGTCCTATGACAAAAGTACAAAGAACCTGTATGCACCCAGCCTACATTTTCATACTACCCTCAGTTCAGGCTCCTCAGCCCTCGTCATTTCTGTCTGGAAAAATATTCTATTCCAGGAAGCATGGGCACTGCTTTGTTTCAGGAGTGCAATTATAAGTGGTTTTTATAAGATTTTACTTATTTATCTTTGTAGACAGATGGGAAGGGAGGGAGAAGGAGAGGGAGAGAAACATCAATGTGTGGTTTCCTCTCACACACCCCCTCCTGGGGACCTGGCCTGCAACTCAGGCATGTGCCCTGACTGGGAATTGAACTAAAGACCCTTTTTTTAAAAAAAAAAATTATGTTATTGTTGTTCAGTTATAGCTGTCTGTATTTTTTTCTCCACCACTCCCCCCACAACCAGACAAACCCACCTTTCTCCCTTGCTTACACCCTCCCCTTTGGTTTTGTCCATGTCCTTTATAAGTATTTCCTGAAAACCCTTCTCCCCACTGTCCCCTTCCCCCTCCCCTTCTGGTTACTGTCAAATTGTTCTTAATTTCTATGTCTCTGGTTATATTTTGCTTGCTTTTTTTCTTTTGTTGGTTATGTTCCAGTCAAAGGTGAGATCACATGGTATTTGTCCCTTACCTCCTGGCTTATTTCACTTAGTATAATGTTCTTGAACTAGAGACCCTTTGGTTTGCAGGTTAGCACTGAATCCACTGAGCCACACCATCTAGGGCTCTTATGCAATTTTAATGATCTTTCTTGAATGTTCCCATCAGTATCCTTTCTAAATTTTGCATGCCATTATTTGGTTATATCAGTCATTTGAATAGACTGTGAGCTTTGTGAAAAGAGAAATCCTTCCTCCGTTACTTTCACTGCCCAGGCCCCAGCACAGAGCCTGCCTGATGCGCAGTGCAGCCTCAGACATGTTGGTTTAATAAAATCAGGGCTCTACATGGAGCATCATAAAATTTTTGAAACCTACATTTTGAAGTGTCACAACCCTACTCAATATAGTCAAAACCACCTTGGACCAGAGTGGCATTTCTACTGTGGAGAATCATTGACAGTAGAGATCAGAGCTGAACACAACTCTAGTCTGTGAATTCATCACCAACAGGGGAAAGCAGGAAGGAACATCCATGGGGTAGAGATGAGAGTGACCTTGATTCTGTTGCTCTGGGTGCACCATGGACCTCATTTCTCCTCCTACTCAGGATGCTGACATTTAAAGCAATGGCCCAGCTCTTCATCTTGGGCTGCACGTGGTCTCTGGGAATCCTGCAGGTGGGCCCAGCTGCCCAAGCCATGGCCTATCTCTTCACCATCATCAATAGCCTGCAGGGCGTCTTCATCTTCCTGGTGTACTGTCTCCTCAGCCAGCAGGTACCATAGTCCAACTCCCACCTATCGCTGTTTCTATTCTCAGTCCTCTCAGTGAGCTGACTCAGAGCATGCTTTGCCTCTGCAGGTCCGGGAGCAATACAGACAATGGTTTAAACGAGTGAGGAAAATCAAAACAGACTCTGAGAAGTACACCCTCTCCAGCAGGGCCACATCTGAATCTTCCAAGCCTAGCATGGTGAGATCCCCAATGTTCCCAGAGCCCTTCACTCGAACTGATGTAAGGAATAGCTCATGCCCCTCACACTGGACAAACTGGGAATACAGCAGGGGATGTCCTAACATGGCTCCCATGGGCTTCACTCTTTAACTCCTTAACCATTAGCAATGGTCCCAGTGAAAAAACATGTATTTTGCTCTTACTCCTTCGGAACTGTGTTCATCCTGACTTTCACATATCAGCACTCTTACTGAATGACTGCTGCATGCCATGCATGGTTAACTAAATGGCTGAGAATCGATTACCTGAAGCAGGGATGCACATGGCAGTCAGAGAGCCACATTATCTTACCCTTCATCCACCTCTATCTCACAGTCACTCAGCACCACCCAAACTAAAAGGCAAAGATGGGAAAAATGATGTACATATTTAAGAACTGAACAGAAATCAGTGTTACTTGGCATTTTGGACTTTCTTAGTAAGATTGCCTGATATTTTCAGCACCTTCCTCCCACTTCAGAACCAGGATGGACAAACCATAAGTGCATGGAAAATTCCTGGCAGTGATTACTAAGAACCACTACTGGTTTAGATCTAAAAATTTCTATTTTTTTTCATTTTAAAAAAGATTCAATTAATTTATTTTTAGAGAGGGAAAGTATGTCCCCAATATGCCCAGCTGACTCAGTCTCTATCACATCTACATCCTCCAAATGCGTCCCTGAGCCAGGTTGCCACCTTCACTTGCCTGAAGCACTGCAACATCCTCCTGACTGACCACCCCTTTCCATTCTCATCACCTTCCAATGCCTCTTTACCCAGAAGTCAGAGGGATCTTTTCAGAACTAAAAAGACAAATCATGTCACCCCTGTGTGAAACCTGTTACATGTACTTTCTCTTGTGTTCACTTCTGAATAATTTCCTGAAGCACAACATTTATAAACTTCTTGAGTAGAGAGAGGCATATGAAGTTGCCCATGTCAAGCACTAGGAATTACACTGAGCTTTCTCTAGACCTAGGAATAAATAACTGATATTGGTGATGGAAAGGAGAAGGGAAAAACAGAAGAGTTCAATGCCGCTTCTTTTATATCCTCGGTAATGGACAATAGATAGTGTTTCTGACCTTTCATTAATTTCCCACCTGCCCTCTTTTATGACTGAAGACATAAAGTAACATTTCAAAAACCTTGAAGCAGAGGGATCAGAACACACATTTTCAAAAAGATAGACTATTTCTGTAGCACATTTAGTTGTTCTTATCCTCTGTAACTTGGGGTTTAGATAACATAGGAAAATGAAACTCCTTAGGAAGCCCAATTGATATGGCCTTTTCTTACCCTGACCAATCCATGTGGCAAGGTAATTTTTTGACTAAAATCTTCTTAAATTTCTCATTTCTTTCATTAGAGGAAACTTTCAAGTTTTCTTTCCATAGTCTTATATTTAATTTCTACAATATTCTCTTTCCAGGTGAATTAAGAAGATCTTTTGATCTATAGCCTCTTATCCCATGGAAACTGCCCTGCCATTCTTTGAGCCATTGAGAGAGGATAGAAAGACTTTGTGGTGTGTTTCAAGAAATTCTTCATATCAGCAATGTGAAAGAAGTCATGGTGGACATGCTGGAAACTCAACCTCTGCAAAATCTGGAATTTTTTCTTTGCTCTGCTGTGTACTTGGAAAGTTTGGCATGTAAAATTCCAGTGGTGGCCCAATTTTTTAGGAACTTTGAGTTAAGTTTCTGCAAAGGCTCTGCTTTCTACGGACTCTCCAGAGACTGAACGTTTATGAACATGAAGAAGAGTGGAATGTTCATGCTAATGTCTGGATTTCTTAATTTCTTTTTTCAGTATTTCTAGAGGTTTAATTGTGTACTTGTGTAAAATGATTAATTATTCACCATGTCTAAGGCAGAAATTAAGAGCTACTCAGGCAGGTCCTGCCTTCATGGGGGCTTTCAGAGGGAAATAAATTAATTTATGCAGCTATACTTCCTGTTTGTAGATTATTATTATTATTTTATTTATTCTCACTTGAGGACATGCTTACTGATTTTAGAGAGAGGAGAAAGAGAGAAGGAGAGAAATATCGATCAGTTGCCTCTCATATGCTCCCTGACCAGGGACCAAGCCTGCAACCTAGGCATGTACCCTGCCTGAGATTAAACCCATTACTTTTTTGTTTTATGGGATGACACTCTAACAAATTGAGCTACGCTGGCCAGGGAGATTTATTGATGATAGCTATTCTGACAGGTGTGAGGTGATAGCTCATTGTGGTGTTAATTTGTATTTTTCTGATCATTATTAATTTTCTTTTTTTTAAAACATTTTTAAAATTGTTGTTCAAGTACAGTTTTCTGCCTCCCCCCACTCCTCCCCACCACCACAGCCCTTCCCAACTCCCCTGCTGTTTCCACCCGCTTGTTATTGTCCATGTGTCCTTTATAATTGTTCTTGCAAACCCTTTACCCTCTTCACCATTATCCCTTTCCACCTTCTCTCTGGTTACTGTCCATTTGTTCTTAATTTCAGTGTCTTTGGCTATATTTTGCTTGCTTGTTTGTTTTGTTGATTAGGTTCCACTTAAAGGTGAGGTCATATAGTATTTGTCTTTCACTGTCTGGCTTATTTCACTCAGCATAATGCTCTCCAGTTCCATTCATGCTGTTGCAAAGGGTAGGAACTCCTTCTTTCTTTCTGCTACATAGCATTCCATTGTGTAAATGTATCATAGTTTTTTGATCCATTCATTTACTGATGGGCACTTACATTGCTTCCAGCACTTGGTTATTGTAAATTGTGCTGCTATGAATATTAGGGTGCATAGGTTCTTTTGGATTGGTGTTTCAAGTTTCCTAGGGTATAATCCCAGCAGTGGAATTTCCGGGTCAAAGGCAGTTTCATTTTTAGCTTTCTTTTTTTTTAAATATATTTTATTGATTATGCTATTACAGTTGTCCCATTTCCCCCCTTCTCTCCTCTCCACCCTGCACACCCCTTACAACCCACATTACCCCCTTCAGTTCATGTCCCTGTGTCATAAGTTCTTTAGCTTCTACATTTCTCATACTATTCTTTCCCTCCCTCTGTCTGTTTTCTGCCTACTATCTATGCTACTTATTCTCTGTACCTTTTCCCCTTCTCTCCCCCTCCCACTCTCCTATTGCTAATCCTCCATGTGATCTCCATTTCTGGGGTTCTGTTCCTGTTCTAGTTGTTTGCTTAGTTTGTTTTTTGTTTTAGGTGTGGTTGTTAATAACTGTGAGTTTGCTGTCTTTTTTACTGTTCATATTTTGTATCTTCTTTTTCTTAGATAAGTCCCTTTGACATTTCATATAATAAGGGCTTGGTGATGATGAACTCCTTTAACTTGACCTTATCTGAGAAGCACTTTATCTGCCCTTTCATTCTAAATGAAAGCTTTGCTGGATAGAGCAATCTTGGATGTAGGTCCTTGACTTTCATGACTTGGAATACTTCTTTCCAGCCCCTTCTTGCCTGTAAGGTCTCTTTTGAGAAATCAGCTGATAGTCTGATGGGAACTCCTTTGTAGGTAACTCTCTTCTTTTCATTTGCTGCTTTTAAGATTATCTTCTTATCTTTCATCTTGGGTAACTTAATTATGATGTGCCTTGTTCTGTTCCTCCTTGGGTACAGTTTCTTTGGTACTCTCTGAGCTTCCGGGACTTACTGTAAGCCTATTTCCTTCACCAGATTGGGGGAGTTTTCTTTAATTATCTGTTCAAAGGAGTTTTCAATTCCCTGCTGTTGTTCTTTTCCTTCTGATACCACTATGATTCGGATGTTGGAACGCTTAAAGTTGTCACAGAGGTTCCAAAGCCTGTCCTCATTTTTTTGAATTCTTGTCTCTTCATTTTGTTCTTTTGTTTTTAATTTATTTTTTCCTTTTGCTTCAAATAATCAATTTCAGTCCTGGTTTCCTTCCCATTACTGTTGGCTCTGTGTATAGTTTACTTTATTTCACTTTGTATAACCTTGTTTCTTCCTTTATTTTGTGACCGAGCTCAATCAATTCTGCTAACATCCTGATTAGCAGTGTTTTGAACTCTGCATCAGATAAGTTGTCTATCTCCTTGTCACTTAGCTCCTTTCCTGGAGTTTTGATCTGTTTTTTTATTTGGGTCATATTTCTTTGTCTCAGTGTACCTGTTAAGTTGTAAGGGGGCAGAGCATTAAGTATTTGCCAGGGTGGGGCAACCTTTGGCTGCTGTGTTGTGGTACTGTCTGAGGGGGAGGAGTCAAAGAGGGAACGATACCCTTGCTTGCTCCATGTTAGCCCTACTTTCTAATGAACTCTCCTGTGAGACTGGGAATTTCTCCTGCCTTCCCTATGTCCACAGCATTTTACTGCTAGAGGTGTTTTTATTATTATTTTTAAAGATTTTATTTATTTACTTATTGGGAGAGGAGAAGAGAGGGGGAGAAATATCAATGTGTGGTTGTCTCTTATGTGCCCCCTACTGGGGACCTGGCCCACAACTTAGGCATATGCCCAGACTGGGAATTGAACCAGTGACCCTTTGGTTCATAGGCCTGTGCTCAATCCACTGAGTCACACCAGCCAGGGCTTGCTAGAGGTTTTGAGCCTTTAGTTTCCTGGTGAGCCAGCCTATCCTCACCCTGGAGGTCTGCCAACTTGTTGCAGGCCCTCTCTGCCCACCTGTCTGCCTGTCTCTGTCCACTCCTGCTGGTCTGGATGAATGTTTCTTTAACTCCTTGGTTGTTGGAGTTCCATGCAGTTTGCTATTCTGGCAGTTCTGGTTATTATTGTTTCAGAATTGGTTGTTATCCTTCTCTTGGTTGTGCGAGGAAGCAAAGTGTTTCTACTTGTGCCCTCATCTTGGCTGGAACTCCTGTATGATCTTTTTTAATGGATTGCTGGATGTGATTTGCCAAAATTTTGTTGAGAATTTTAGTGTCTATGTTCATTAGTGATACTGGCCTATAATTTCCTTTCTTTGTTGTGTCTTTATCTGGTTTTGGGATTAGGGTGATACTGGCTTCACAAAAAGCATTTGGGAGTCTTCTCCTTGGATTTTTTTGAATAGTCTGAGAAGGATAAGGGTTAGTGCTTCCTTTAATGTTTTGTAAAATTCTCCTGTGAAACTATTATTACCCCAAAAATTTTATTTTAAAATTATAGTTGATATACAATATTTATTAGTTTCAGGTTTACAACATAATGGTTAGACATTTATTAATAATAATTGTAATATCTAATACATGTAGAAGATTTCCAAATTGCCTCCAAAATATTTTTAAGGTTGTGTCTCTATATCAGAATCTCAATATAATTGACATTGAATTTGACTATTGTGTTGCTTTTGTCTGTTTTCTAGAATAGCCTGTAATTACTTTTTCAAGTGATAGTAACTATTTTTTAAAATGATACTGACTTTAGAAGTGTCCAGATAACCAGGCTTGTTGAATGCTCTATATTCTTGATTTGCCTGATTGCTTCCTCATGATGTCAGTTAACTTCTTATTCTGTTCCCTATATTCCATGTATACTGGTACTTAGGTCTGAAAGAACAGATCCCGGCAAGCTTTTTCTATAATGGGCTAGCTAGTAAATATTTTTCTGGTTTTGTGGCCCTTGCAGTATCTTTCAAAACTACTCAGCTCTGACATTGTAGTATGAAAGGAATCATAAATAACCCAGCAGTGAATGGCTTTGATGTGTTCCAATAAAACTTTATTTACAAAAGCAAGCAGACGCCCAGATTTAATCTGCATGTTATAGTTTTCCAACCCTTGGTCTAAAGGCTGGGTTAGATTTAGAATAGACTGATTTGCACATAATTCTTTATTTACCACCCATGGGATGTTGTAAATTCACATCTTATCAGGAGATCTATAAAGTCAGGTTTCCCATTATTGACAATATAAAGCTGATCATTAAGTTCAGATCTCCCTATTATAATGTGCACTTTGGCCCTTGTAATTAATCAGTAATCTGTGAGGTGGTTGTTTTGGCAGTGTGAACTAGCCTGTTCTCTAGTAGCTTTTCTCATTGTGTTTAGTACCATTTACTCAGTATTGAAAAATCACAAATTTCTACTTCTATCTTGTCTTTTACAATTATTGGCTGATATTTTTAGGTATCACTATGGACTCATGAATGTTTTTAATGTTATAACCATTTACAGTCATTTTCTGTGGTGTTCAAATTATACAAATGTGTTCTGTGGAAACCCACAGGAAATTTCTTTCAGGTGTAATTGCTCTGGAATTAGATCTTGCCTAGATCACATGCTTTAGATAAAATAATATGTATAAATATATCTTAAATGATGTGCTGTAGGAATATACACCTTTTCCACAGCTTCATCTGTAAAATGTAAGGATGTAGAGACTCTGTTGATTTTACTCTTTTTTTTTTTTTACATATAAGCTCTGTGAAATCAGGAACTGGGATCTCTGTGAAGGAAATTGTGAGTAAGAAAACTATTTTTTGAGTGAAAAATCAGTAAGTCTCTAGACATGAAGAGTGAAGAAGTCAAGGCATGTAGGTAGGGAGACCAAATACAGGTATTTGACTGAACATTAGTTTCCTTTTTTATGCTGTTTTAAGAAAGGTGTTTGAGGATGGTTTTCCTTGTTATGCTTG